GGGCGAGGTGAAGGGAGGCGGCGGCGATGGTGAGGCGGACGGAGGCCGTTGTGACGGTGAGGTGGAGGGCGGCGGCAGCGACGGCGAGGCGGACGGCGGTGGCGGCGACGGCGAGGCGGACGGCGGCGGCGGCGACGGCGAGGCGGAGGGAGGCGGCGGTGACGGTGAGGTGGACGGCGGCGGCGGCGAGGGCGAGGCGGAGGGAGGTGGTGGTGACGGTGAGGTGGACGGCGGCGGCGGAGACGGTGAGGCGGAGGGAGGCGGCGGCGAGGGCGAGGCGGACGGCGGCGGCGGCGACGGCGATGCCGAGGGAGGCGGCGGCGAGGGCGACACGGACGGAGGCGGCGGCGATGGCGAGGTGGAGGGAGGCGGTGGCGACGGCGAGGCGGACGGCGGTGGCGGCGACGGCGATGCTGAGGGCGGCGGCGGCGACGGCGAGGCCGAGGGAGGCGGCGGCGATGGCGAGGTGGAGGGAGGCGGTGGCGAGGGCGAGGCGGACGGCGGTGGCGGCGACGGCGATGCCGAGGGAGGCGGTGGCGACGGCGAGGCGGACGGAGGTGGCGGCGACGGTGAGGCGGAGGGAGGCGGCGGCGAGGGCGAGGCGGAGGGAGGCGGCGGCGAGGGCGAGGTGGAGGGAGGCGGCGGCGATGGTGAGGCGGAAGGAGGCGGCGGCGAGGGCGAGGCGGAGGGCGGCGGCGGCGAGGTCGACGCGGACGGAGGTGGTGGCGACGGCGATGCCGAGGGAGGCGGCGGCGAGGGCGACACGGACGGAGGCGGTGGCGATGGCGAGGTCGACGGAGGCGGTGGCGAGGGCGAGGTGGACGGCGGTGGTGGCGACGGCGATGCCGAGGGCGGCGGGGGCGACGGCGATGCCGAGGGAGGCGGTGGCGACGGCGAGGCGGACGGAGGCGGCGGCGACGGCGAGGCGGACGGCGGTGGCGAGGGCGAGGCGGAGGGAGGCGGCGGCGAGGGCGATCGCGGACGGAGGCGGCGGCGAGGGCGAGGTGGAGGGAGGCGGCGGCGATGGTGAGGCGGAAGG